CTTTCTAATCTGAATTAAATGAGATTGACTTCTAACTAGATGTGGAGAAAGTGTTATACTGTTAAAGGAGGTCTGCAAGCCACAATTTATACCAGTTAAAGGAACAGGTATAATTAGAGGTAGCTTTATTCATTAGAGCAGTGGTTCCCAACCTGTGGTTCATGGACCATCAGTGGCCGACAAGAATCAAAATATGGTCACCATTTCTACACCATTGCCTCAAAACCACACAGCAACTAGAACGACTACTCTCGTAAAATCCTCTTATAGTGCCAAGGCAATGGGGATGTTGGGAGGGGAGAGGCTGACTCCCCATGAAAGATTACTACTACCACATCAGCTCTAGATTATTAAATAGGGTTTTCTGTGGGAGAGCAGATGGTGACTACTGGATGGCATATGTTCTGCATCAGAAACTAGAGCTGATGTGGTCTATCTAATGCAATTTTCTGAGTCAGTACCCCAAATAACCAAAGTGAATCTAAAGTTGACCAAAAACTGATTTGTACCCCTATTGGTACTAATGTTGGAGAGTGGTCCCTGGTCAGAGTGGTTCCTGTTCAAAAAAAAGGTTGGGAACCACTGCATTAGATGCTTCCTTTAAAAAAAAAACCCCACTATCTCCTGTAGAGATTTAACAGATCATCAATAATATGATGCATTTTGCACAATGCCCCAATATTTTAGGGCATTTTCTGGTTTGAGACTGGGTAGGTGGGTATATTTATGTTCTTTGTTTGATTTTGATATTATTATTGGAAATTTGAGATTGTGGGATTTGTAAGGTTTGCCTGAAGTGCCCACTTCCTGCAAAAGACCTTTGAGAAGCTGCAAACCTCTTTCTCATCATTCACATTGTTGCTTGTTTGATGAGTTCATTTGCGTGCAGCACGTACTAAACTTCTGAGTCATTCAGAGACAGTCCTTACTTAGACTTGATTATTTCAAGACAGTGGAAGCCTGATGAAGTATACAGAACAGAAAGTGCAGTCCTATTTACACCACGCCAAGACCTTACAGGCTGACGAGGCACAAAAATGCAGGGCAAGATATACAAGCAACAGCTGTCCTCCGCACAATAACGCAAAACATCATACTGGCCTTGCATTAGGAGGACTTCAAGAAAGATATTGAGAAGCTGGAATGTGTCCAGAGGAGTGCAATCAAATTGGTCAAAGGTCTGGAAGCTAAAGACCTATGACGAGTGGCTCAGGCAGCTGGGTATGTTTAGCTTGGAGAAAAGAAGGCTGAGAGGGGACCTGAGAGCCAGGTGATCCTTGTTCTGTCTGCCCAGAATGCCCCACCTCAGAGCTTAATATTAACAGGAATGCCACTGGCAGAACATCTATGGAGCTTTCCATGGGTGTCATTGGGTTAGGAGAGCAAACACAATATCCTTTCTACTGGTGGAGATGATGATGGTGATGATGATGATGATGATGATCCCACTTTTATCTCAGGGCCCAAGACCAGAAGTGACTCTGCCATATCCAACACTCTCTCCTTACAGTTAGGTGATTAGGATTGCTCTGTTTTGCTTTACTGTAAACATAGCTATAACCAGAAAATATTGGGGGGGGGGGGGGTGAAACTTTTTTTAGCGAATCATGAAGAGTAGTTCGATAACACAACAACATTTTTATAGACGATCCCTCGTTGTCCGAGTAGGATGTCTTCCAAGATCAGTGTACAGTGGGTCCATAGGTGACTGTGGAGCCCTCTTCTTGATTGGCATCTTCTCCTGCAGTGAGGGCATTGGTTTCTAGGCGGAAGGCAATCCTAGTCTGGGTTGGCTTGACCTGCCTTCCTCTTGGCACGTTTCTCTCTTTCACCCTCCATTCGTGCCTCTTCAAATTCTACAGCACTGCTGGTCACAGCTGACCTCCAGCTGGAGCGCTCAAGGGCCAGGGCTTCCCAGTTCTCAGTGTCTATGCCAGAGTTTTTAAGGTTGGCTTTGAGCCCATCTTTAAATCTCTTTTCCTGCCCACCTGCTGAAGAAGAATTGTGTGTGCCAAAAAGGACAAATAAATGGCTCCAAGAGCAAACCAGACCTCAGCTCTTATACCTATAGGAATTTCTCCCATATCAGTCTTAAAATGTGGGTGCAAAGCATCCCTAAACTGCAAAGAAATGGTGTTAATTATTGTTCATTATGTTTTCTGCCATAGAGTGCTTGTTCCTCACCAAACTACGGTGTCTCATTGCTTTGAGCCATAATAACTGAAGTGGGGTCAACCTGCCTTCATCCTATAGTGCCAGGGCTCAATGCTAAGGGATTTGGGAGCTGTGATTCGCAGAAGGCTTAGCCCTCTTCAGCAGAGAAGGCTCAAGATCTTGTAAAACTACAACTATGAGTTGCATTGACCTATGGCAGTTGCAGTGGGGTCAACCTGCCTTCATTCTACACCAGGCAGGGTAAACTTCGGCCCTCCAGGTGTTTTGGACTTTGGCCCTTGCCGTTCCTATCAGCCTCAGGCCCTTTCCTTTTCCTTAGTTCTGCAGCAGTGCTTCTCAACCTGGGGGTCAGGCCCCCTGGGGAGGTTTGAGGGAGTTTTGGAGAGGTCACCAAAGACCATTAAAAAAACATATATTTCTGATGGTCTTAGGAACCCCTTTGGCAAAGAAGGGTGAAGATCTCTCTGCCTGTCCTCTTCCTTTTTGGAAACAGATGGCTAGTCCTCCCACCAAAAGCCCTCCTCCGCTGTGATTGGCTGGCCTTTCAGCCAAGGGGAGGACTGTTTCTAAGAGGGGAGAGTAGGCGTGCTTGTGGTGCGCATGTGCAGGAGAACGGGAGTGTGTGTGGCTGGAGGGAGGCTCAAGCCAGCGAGTCCCTTCAAGGCATGGGGGCACTGTGTGGGAAGTTTGGCCCAATTCAATCGTTGGTGGGGTTCAGAATGCTCTTTGATTGTAGGTGAACTATAAATCCCAGTAACTACCACTCCCAAATGTCAAGGTCTATTTTCTCCAAACTCCACATTTGGGCATATTGAGTGCCAAGTTTGGTCCAGATCTATCATTGTTTGAGTCCATAGTGCTGTCTGGATGTAGGTGAACTACAACTCCAAAACTCAAGGTCAATGCCCATCAAGCCCTTCCAGTATTTTTTGTTGGTCATGGGAGTTCTGTGTGCCAGGTTTGGTTCAATTTCCATCATTGGTAGTGTTCAGAATGCTTGTTGATTGTATGTGAACTATAAATCCCAGCAACTACAACTCTTTAATGACAAAATCAACCCTCTCCCAACCCCACCAGTATTCAAATTTGTATGTATTGGGTATATCTGTCAAATTTGCTCCAGTGAATGAAAATCCATCCTGCATATCAGATATTTACATTACAATTCACAACAGTAGCAAAGTTACAGTTAAGAAGTAACAACAAAAATAATTTTCTGGTTGGGGGTCACCACAACATGGGAAACTGTATTAAGGGGCTGCGGCATTAGGAAGGTTGAGAAACACTGTTCTACAGGGTAGATCAGGGGTCCCCAAACTTAGGATGTAGTCCTCCAAGGCCATTTTCCTGGCCCCTGCTCTGACTCAGGGTCATCCTAAGCCTGAAGGCACACAACAGCAACAATCCTAATTAACTTGACAAGCTCATCAGTCAAAAGCAGACCCACACTTCCCATTGAAATACTGACTCATGTCAGTTAAAAATTGTGGGATTTTCGGCCTTGATATTCTGGGGGCCCTTCCACACAGCCCTGTATCCCAGAATATCAAGGCAGAAAATCCCACAAGATCTGCTCTGAACTGAAATATACGGCAATGTGGACTTAGATAAGTCAGTTCAAAAGTGATATTGTGGGACAATCTGCCTTGATATTCTGGGGACCCTTCCACACAGCCCTATATTCCAGAATATCAAGGCAGAATGTCCCACAATATCTGCTTTGAACTGAAATATATGGCAGTGTGGACTTAGATAAGTCAGTTCAAAACAGATATTGTGGGATTTTTCTGCCTTGATATTCCGGGATATATGGCTGTGTGGAAGGGCCCCCGTTTATCAAGGCAGAAAATCCCACAATATCTGCTTTGAACTGGAATATATGGCAATGTGGATTCGGGTAAGTCAGTTCAAAAGAGATATTGTGGGATTTTCTCCCTTGATATTCTGGGGACCCTTCCACACAGCCCTATATCCCAGAATATCAAGGCAGAATGTCCCACAATATCTGTTTTGAACTGGAATATATGGTAGTGTGGATTCAGGTAAGTCAGTTCTAAACACATCTTGTGGGATATTCTGGGATATAGGGCTGTGTGGGAGGGCCCCCAGTTTATCAAGGCAAACAATCCCACAATATCTGCTTTGAACTGGAATATATGGCAGTGTGGATTCAGGTAAGTCAGTTCTAAACATATCTTGATACTCTGGGATGTGTGGAAGAGCCCCCACAGCAACTCAGACCCACACTTCCCATTGAAACAGGCATGTAGCCGGGGGGGGGGGCCTCGGGGGGCTTCAGCCCCCCCCCCCGAAATTCTCATGGTGGTTCGCGAAAAGGCCTTACTGGTGCATTATTTAAACTGTTATGTTTATTCCTATCATGATCTGATCACCATACTCAATATATCCCATACGCATGGGGGTATTGGGGTAATGATACAAAAGGTTTGCTAGGCTAGACCCTCTTTCACTCAGACTCAGCCCCCCCCACCCCCCCCGAAAAAAATTCAGCCCCCCCCCCCCCCCGAAACGAAATCCTGGCTATGGGCCTGCATTGAAATATTGATTCATGTCAGGTAAAATTATACCTCATTTTAAATATTGTCATGGGTTTTTTCCTCCCCTCACTACCAATAAGATATATGCAGTGTGCATAGGAAATTGTTCCATTTTTTTTTCCAAACGATGCCCGCCGCCCTTTGCAACCGTCCGAGGGACCCCTGCGATGGATGGAGCCAAAGCGGGCAGGAGCTTTCGCGCCCCGCCCTTGCAACGCAGGAGCGTAGGAGGCGGGGAACCGGGGCGGTGTTAGGACCCCGCGGCGCCTTGCTCTCGCCTTCCCGCCGCCGCAGCAGCAGGAGCAGCAGGAGCAGCAGCACCTGCCCGTCTGTGCGTGCGTCCGTCGGTGGGGTGCTCGCTCTGTGTGTGTGTGTGTGTGCCTGGCGCTCTGGTTCGCTCCTTCTCTTGCAGGATGGCCGGGCTGCGGGGCTGGGGCTGGCTGCTGCTGGCGGCTCTGCTGCGGGCGCCGTCGGGTCTGGCGCTGCCCGAGGTGCTGTTCCGCTGCCCGCCTTGCAGCGCCGAGCGCCTGGCCGCTTGCCCCAAGGCGCCCGCCGCCCCGACGGCGCTCTGCCCTGAGCTGGTCCGCGAGCCCGGCTGCGGCTGCTGCGCCCTCTGCGCCCGCCTCGAAGGAGAGCCCTGCGGCGTCTACACGCCTCGCTGCGCCGCCGGGCTCCGCTGCTACCCGCGGCCCGGCGCCGAGCTGCCCCTCCAGGCCCTCGTCCAGGGACAGGGCACCTGCGCGCGGGTGGGCGGAGGGACAACCCCACCGGCAGCCGGGGGACCCGCCACCGCCGCCGGAACAGCAGCAGCAGCAGGAGGAGGAGGAGGAGGAGGGGACCCCGCCACCGCCGCCGCCGCTGCATACGACGGAACAGGTGAGTGAGCCGCACCGGCACATGCGTTCCTGAGCATGCACAGAGGGCTTCTCCGCAGGCCAAGGAGAAGGCAGTGCGTTGCATTCTTAGAAGCCCAGGGCGACCACGATGTCTTCTAGGAAGAACTCAGCATACTCCCTTTGTAGTCCCCATGGGGTTCCTGAGCCTACGCAGAGTGCGTCCCTAAACCTATGGTTCTACGCTCAAAGAATGCTTGCTGCGCTGGAATCGCAGGGGGTGGGGTGGGGTGGGGTGGGGGGCATAAGATCAATCTTTTCCCCGTGACTGACGGGCTCGCTCTGCCAGAGCTTCCCTCTCTTAGGGCTGGGAGGCGAGGCCGGCCTTCAGCAGAGGGAGCGCTTGGGGCGTGCTCGTGGCGAAGGCGAGCGGTGCGGATCTTGCCGGCCTCCGACGTCTCTGCTGAGGAGGAGGAGGAGGAAGCGTTGCGTGGTCTCCCTCCAGTGCAGACCCCTGGGCAAACGGAGGCACGCCTTAGATGGGTGGCACCTGGAAGCAGGGAGAAGCTTTTAGCGGGTGCAGAGAGGGAAGGAAAACCGGCAGATGAGGATATACATATATCATATAATATATTATATTCTTGGGATGGATCTGTGGGTGATGGTTGGTTAAATAGACCAATAGAGAGATAGACCGATGGATAGACCAATAGATAGATAGATAGATAGATAGACCGATAGATAGATAGATAGACCGATACATAGATAGTCTGATAGATAGACCAATACATAGTCCCATAGATAGAGAGATAGATAGTCTGATAGGTAGACTGATAGATAGATAATCGGATATGTAGATAGCCTGATAGATAAACAGATAGATAGTCCAGTAGATAGATAGTCCGATAGATAGACTGATAGCTAGATAAATAGTCCCATAGATAGATAGATAGATAGATAGATAGATAGATAGAGTCTATAGATAGATGGCAGACTGATAGATAGTACAATAGATGGATAGACAGACCAATAGATAGATAGTCCCATAGATATATAGACTGATAGGTAGATAGTCAGATAGATAGATAGATAGATAGATAGTCCAATAGATAGTTAAATAGACCGATATAGTCCAATAGAGAGAGAGATAGACCGATAGATAATCCAATAAATAGATAGATAGTCTCATAGATAGATAGACCAATAGATAGTCCAATAGAGAAATAGTCCCATAGATAGATAGACTGATAGGTAGATAGTCAGATAGATAAACAGATAGATAGTCCAGTAGATAGATAGTCCGATAGATAGACTGATAGCTAGATAAATAGTCCCATAGATAGATAGATAGAGTCTATAGATAGATGGCAGACTTATAGATAGTACAATAGATGGATAGACAGACCAATAGATAGATAGTCCCATAGATATATAGACTGATAGGTAGATAGTCAGATAGATAGATAGATAGATAGTCCAATAGATAGTTAAATAGACCGATATAGTCCAATAGAGAGATAGACCAATAGATAATCCAAAAATTGATAGATAGTCCCATAGTTAGATAGACCAATAGATAGCCCAATAGATAAATAGTCCCATAGATAGATAGACTGATAGGTAGATAGTCAGATAGATAAATAGATAGATAGTCCGATAAATAGTTAGATAGACCGATAGATAGTCCAATAGAGAGAGAGATAGATCGATAGATAATCCAATAAATAGATAGATAGCCCTATAGATAGATAGACTGATAGGTAGATAGTCCCATAGATAGATAGACCAATAGATAGATAGACAGATAAATAGATGGACGGATGGATCTCTCTCCAGGAACCCCCAGCCATCATAGTCAGTGAGGATTCTCGGAGTTTTGATCAAAAAGAAGAGAGAGAAAAGAAGACAGAGAAAGCTCCCCCTTTCCCCCAACTCTTTGTATGAAGGGTGGGAGGTGAGACTGAGGTGAGATCAAGAAAGGAAGAATTTCAGAAAGAAGACAACAGACTATAAGACACTGATGAGTGGGAAATAGAGGTCCTGGTCTATTTAATGTCTAGAATTGGCAACGTGTAAGAGTAAGAAGTAGGGAGAAGTGATTGCTGAGTGAAGCTGGCAGGGGTGACTAAAAAGGAGAAAGGAGGAAAACTCTAGTGTGTGAGGGGAGCAGTGCTTCCCTGCAAGGCAGAGTTCAGTTGTGACTAGGCACATCAAACTCTGAGTAAGGGAGGTTACCTCTGAGGTGTCAGAAGTGAATGAGGATATCCTTGTACTATAGTGTTAGATCCGGATCTGTGGAGATGGGGCATGGGAGTTGCAGATAAGTATGTTTGGGTGTTGGAACTAGTCATTTTTAGAGGGAAATCCCCACTTTTTAGATAGTAGTCTGTGTTGCTGATGCTATGTGTTTTCATGGCATGCCTATTTTTCTAGCAACCCTATCAACAGGGTTTCCTCGGTCTCAGAGAATGTGATTCGCCCAAGGTCATCCAGGCTGCATCCACACTGCCCTATAATCCAGTTCAATGCAGCTAGATTATAGGGCAGTGTAGATCCAACACTCGTGGGTGCCCATGGCTTAGGGATTCAAACCCTGATCTCCAGAGTCATAGTCTAACACCCAAAGCACTAAAGTACACTGTCACTCAGTATGTATTACTTCACATTACTTCCAAACCAACTCTATATCATTTGATCGCTCTGTTCATTCTTCTGAGTAAGAACCTGGATTTCTGCCCTGACCACAACCTCATTGGATAGGGATAGTTATATCTTGTTAGCCAAGTCTCCAACTTTGTGGAAGAGGTAAATCTCAAGAGGGACAGGTGGCCAGAGGAATAGGATAGGATGCCTTGCCCTTTCTCTGCTTGTTGGCTATGCCTTCTGTGTCCTAGCAGCCAATGTCTTCTGTCCCCTTAAATTCAGATGGTGGCTTTAGTGAGCAGGAGACACTTACTCACATACACACACATATATAAATACACAGTCTGAAAACAGGAGTTCTACTTTCATTCATGGAAAGCTAATTGTAACCCATTTTGAAACCCTGTATGGAGCTTGGGCTACAAGGAGTGGACCAGCTTCTATCGCTGTGCTCCTTATTGGCATCATCACCTTGCCTGGAGCCAAGGCTTGAGAAAACTAAACCAGAATCTATATCATCATCTTTATTTATACCCCGCTACCATCTCCCCGAAGGGACTCAGGGAGGCTAACATGAGGCCAAGTTACAATAAAACAAAAGTACATATAACAAAACAATAACATCAAATAAATAAAATAGTAGTTGAGGTGAGGACATTCCAAGTTGACATTGCCACTGCAATGAGTTAAATTCTTGTGCCAGCTAAACTGCTGACCTGAAGGTCAGCAGTTCTAATCCTCAAGATGGGATGAGTTCCCATCTGTCAGCTTCAGCTTCTCATGTGGGGACATGAGAGAAGCCTCCCACAGGATGATAAAACATCCAGGTATCACCTGGGCAATGTCTCTGGAGATGACCAATTCTCTCACATCAGAAGCGACTTGCAGTTTCTCAAGTTGCTTCTGACACAATAGAAAAAACAAGGTGTATGTGTGTCTGTGTCTCTGTGTGTGTGTGTATACACACAGACACACACCTTGCATTTCAGTCTTCTATTCAAAATTCTTGTGTATATAATAATTGAGTCCTGCAGGGAAAAGACTATGTGAGACTTCTCTCTGAGAACAAGTGTGTGTGGCTGTGTCATGAGGAGAACAGGAAGCAGTAGGAGCATTTAAATAAGCACCTCTTCATGTGCAGTCTGAGGTTATGCAGTTCTTGGTTCTGCCAACCAAACACAAAAACTTCAGCTGAAAGGAACTGGTGAGTTTTAAAAGAGCATTGAGACCACTTGTTCTTTCCTTTTTTATACTCAATCAGATTAATATATTTGCTTCTTCATCTGTTGCTAGCTGGATGTGCTAGGATACTAAGAGTGGTTCATACTTCATGTTACCTGTGAATGCAGTGGTTTGACTCCAATGTGGAATGCACAGGAGTTATGCATATAGATGAACATCCTTAAATGTGCAGTAGACATGCTGAAGAAGATGACTACTCATGATGTCCTAATTCCTATTTAAGCATGTTTAAGGACACTTTCTGCCATTTCAATATTTCCTGTAGACAGTGTAATGCAGTGTGACATACCAGGACCAAACACAATTGCCACACGAAGTGCAAAGTAATTGCAAGTTACACCTTATAAGTCCCCTTTTCTTTGGTCACCTAGGTCTTCTCCCCAGGCAGCTAAGTCTACAGCAGTATTTCGCAACCTGCCTAACACTGTGACCACTTAACACACTTCCAATGTTATGGTGACCCCCATCCATAAAATTATTTTTGTTGCTACTTCATAACTGTAATTTTGCAATTGTTATGAATCGTAATGTAAATATCTGACATGTAGGATGTATTTTCATTCACTGGACAAAATTTGGCACAAATACCCAATATGCCCAAATTTGAATACTGGTGGAGTTGGGGGGGTTGATTTTGTCATTTGGGAGTTGTAGTTGCTGGAATTTATAGTTAATTTACAATCAAAGAGCATTCTGAACTCTACCAATGATGGAATTGAACCAAACCTGGCACACAGAACTCCCATGACCAACAGAAAATACTGGAAGGGTTTGGCAGGCATTGACCTTGAGTTTTGGAGTTGTAGTTCACCTACATCCAGACAGCACTGTGGACTCAAATAATGATAGATCTGGACCAAACTTTGCATGAAAATTCAATATGCTGAAATGTGAACACTGGTGGAGTTTGGGGAAAATAGATCTTGACATTTGGGAGTTATTGTTGCTAGGATCTATAGTTCACATATAATCAGAGCATAATGAACCCCACCAATAATAAAATTGGACCAGACTTCCCACACAGAACCCCCATGTCTTGAAGGGACTCACTGACATGAACCTCCCTCCAGCCTCACATGCTTTTTCCCGCCTGCACATGCACACCAGGCTGTCATGCGCCAAGCATCCCTGCTCTCCCCGCTTGGAGTCTCAGAAACA